AATGATGCTGGCATTTCTTTCAAGTTTGAAAGGTAGTTTTGAAACTTGTGAGGCACAATGACACAGGTATACATAAACAACCTGTCCCATTTTTCATTTGATTCACGCGCCTTTGTCACTGCTTCCAAAACAAGTGATGTTGCTGCAAAATACATGTCATAAATGGAATCAAGGAAAATACGTGGTTAAATAACATTACATTGCAGTGAGTCATGTGACAGATGACAGGCAGACCATCATAAACAGTGAATAACATACAAGGTGGGTCTCCCAACAGGTGAATGTGGCGCAATGCTTTTGTCATCACTGCTTATTAAGTCTATATGCTAACAATTAACTCATTCTCCGAGTGTGGATCCTTACGCAGTTGAAATAAAATAAAATGGGAGAGGAGATTTGCCTTAAACAAACCAAAGCGTACTGAGTATGCTCAGTGTCCATGTAATACTGGCTGATGCTGGGGAGGGGCAGGGGAGAGGAGAGGGAATGGAATAGAATATTCTGAAAGATGGCTGGCTCCAATCCTTAACAGGAGCACACCATTCTGTGTTGCTTGTCTCATTTGCCATATAATAAATAAACAAATAAATAGTTAGAAGGAGCCTTGTAGATGTAGAGCATCATGACAAACTCCCTGTACTGTATAAGACCATATTTGACATACAATCTCTTAATAGCCAGTTTTATTCACATCTGTTGGGGAAATTTTCAGGGCCACAAGACCAAAAGATTTCTGGTTGAATCTAGCTAAGCCACGTTCAGAGGTGACCCAATGGAATCAATGGGTGTGACTAACAATATTTGTACACACACATGCACCTGATAGTTTTTGTGTGTGGTGGGGGGAGAGGAGTTAAAGTATTTTCTGGAACACTGGTTTCCCCTCTTTGTACCAATGTACCATCAGAGGATAACATCTGTCAAAGTGGACTCCAGTAGTCCACAAAAACACAAGCCACAGTAATCAGGTTATATGGTTTTAGGGTCCCTCTGAGTCTCTGTTATCCACAGGATCATAGAATTGGAAAGGAACTCAGATGCTTTCTAGACAAATCCCCTGCCAATACAGGAAACCAGCTTTTGCAGCATCCCTTACAGATGGCCATTCAACATCTTAAAAGCCTAAAATGATGAAGAGTTTCCATCTCTTTCCAATGAAAATCTGTTCCACTACAGCAGGGTTTCCCATACTTGGGTCTCCAACTGTTTTTGGACTACCACTCCCATCATCCCTATCTAGCAGGAGCAGTGGTCAGGGGATGATGGGATTTGTAGTCCAAAAACAGCTGGAGACCCAAGCTTGGGAAACCCTGTTCTACAGCTAGTCCACCAGCCAACGTTGATGAGAGGCACCCTATATCACGAAGGCCGCTTGTGACTCCAGACACAATAGGGGATCCAGAAGGATGTCCAAATTTGAACTTATTGGTTCAGGTCTTACCTGTTGAGCAATCATTCTGGGGCTTGGAAGCTGGCCGGGGCTTATGAAACATCAAATCAAAACATCCAATTCCAAAACATCTGGAGGGCACCAGGCTGATTTTAATGCCTTAATTCCAAAGGAGTTATTATCTCTTGGAATGTAGAGCATTATTCTGCAAGTGCTCAACTGATCAAGAGGAAGAAGAACTATCACCAAGTATCATTCTCTTGCAACCAGCAATATTTCATGATATGCAAGAGGTGGGGGTGGGGGTGGGGAAACTAAGTCAAAGAGGATATGGGTGACATCCAAAATGAGGTCAGTTGCACAGTGGAGTAGGCCTGAACCTATGACCTAATACATCAGCAAGGAGGTGTTGAGAAAGGAAGGCAGCTATTGCACCAGCTTAGGATGATTTGGCCATATCAAAAACAGCCCACGATATGTAACATGATCATGTAACTCCATCAGAGAAGGAAGGGTGTGACCATACCTCTCTAAGTGTTCCTTGCAGCAGATTTCCCTCTCTTCTTGGCTTGACTTTCAGGGTGTGTGAATAAAATGCTTTAGTAGGTGATCCTTACGAGAGTTGCGAGAACTCTGTCAGAAATGAAAAATAAATGTGAGCCATCACAGTTGGGAGACTCCAGTTTGGTTAGCCTCATTAGGAGGAATTGTGCCTACTGCCAGGTGCATAATGTCAAAACTCCCACCATAATGTGTCATTTCAGATAAATGGGCTGGTGCCACTATGATCAAAGCATTTGCTTTCAGCAGATGCATTGTAATACCTGTGTGCAAAGATGGTGCAGCCAAGATGTAATTGACGATGGCACCTAATGGGGTTTGGGGTTGTGAGCCCATGAACGATCTTAAAGGAAGTTGCAACAGCAGCAACAGTGACAGGACAATCTTAATAAGTGGTGGTAAACTTTGGTGGTGAACACCACCAACACACAGTATTTATATGCTACATGAGATATAACAACTGGAACATATTATTATTTATTAAATTTCTATAGTGCCCTTCATCTGAGGGTCACAAGCATTCATAACATAGAAACAAACAAAAACAATACCCCCCCTCAGACAGCTTAAAAGGCTATAGATTATTTAATTAGCCAAAGGGCTAAGAGAATAGGAATGTTTTTGCCTGGCATTCCACAAGTTCTCCTGTTGCCACCCTCTGGACCTCTCATGGAGGAGTCATGTGAAGACGAGCCTCAGATGATGATCACAGGGTCTGGGTTGGTTCATAGAATCGTAGAATCGTAGAGTTGGAAGGGACCACAACGGTCGTCTAGTCCAACCCGCTGCAATGCAGGAATCTTTTGCCCAACGTGGGGCTCATATGGGGAGAGGCGGTCCTTGAGGCATTGTGGTCCTGAGCCATTTAAGGCTTTTTGGGTCAAAACCAGCACTTTGCACTGGGCCTGGAAACTAACTGGCAGCCAGTGCAGTTAGGGACTGGCTTTACATGCTCAAACCTTCTTGCCCTGGTGAGCAACCTGGCTGCTGAATTCTGCACCCACTGAACTTTCCGAAATCTGTTTTCAGAGGCAGTCACACATATAGTGTGTTGCAGTAATCTATCCATTGCCCGATACTGCCTCTGCTCTTGGTTACTGGATCTCAAGTATATCTGGGCCACTATTGACCTTTCTTGTTCAAACCATTCTTGCCTCTCAGTCAACCGTATTGGCTAGATAACCAAGAAAAATGCTGGTATCCCCACTAAGGGTAACTCCCAGCTTCTTAAATTCAAGACCTGAACATAGCATATATAAAGTTTCAGGGCAGGAATGTGCCTGGTGTCAGGGAGTGTAATTTGCCTAATAACCTTTTTGGTTTGTATTTACCAAGCTCTTTGTTCAGCGTTTCACTTAGGACACGCCTCCCTGAGAGCTGGCACCGTCAAGCGTTTTGCTGCACAGACCTCTTGCTCCTTTCTCATATGATTATTGGGAAATCAAACATATTGTCTAAGAATCTCAGGCTTTTAGCCAGATGTAATTTTCCACCTGTTTTGCTTTGTTCTCAAAAGGGTTGGAGCTGGCTCAGAAGTAGGAGATTAGATCAGGAGATCTTAGACACACATTGCTTGCTTCTTTATTTTTCTTTAACCCAACACAAAACTGGTGCTGTCAGTCCTGTCCAAAAGATGAATGGGTTGGCCTGCTCATTTATCATCATGACAAACTGAAATGGCCCTGGGCTAATGATAATCCTGCTTGATTTTGAAGGATTGTTCCTATATTCACAGGCTAATTAGGAGGAGTGATGCTTTCAGAAACACCCAGGGGACTCAGATAAGCAAGACTCCTCTTTTCAAATGTCTTACTAGCTGCTGTATCCCAGTTGCAGCGACTGGCATGCCCACACAGTCTGTGAGGTCACCAAAATGCAAAAGCTTTTGACTGTGAGGGCACAACTCATAGTGCCTTATCCTAAACATTTATTTGATGGAGTAGCAGGACATGGGCTATTGTCCAGAGACTGTGGATGTACCTAACACACAGGCACGTAGCGAAGTAAATACTTTGAATGCAGGGCCTTCCCCTACATGCTTGCAGATATGAAATGTCACAATGTTTGAAAATCCAAATGTACAACATGGTTGTGCAACAGAAAATTTCCCTCTTGACCTGCATGAGCTTACCCAAGAGTTCTGAAGAGGCAGATTTGAATGTCCTGTTGTACATTCCTTAGCCTGGAAAACGATGAAATCGTTTGCCTGCCTGCCTTTTCCAGCCACACAACTGGTACCTACCTAGCAGTAGGTACCACAAGGGCTAAGAGGATATACTGGGGACATCTTCAGAGTCCCTTCTCCAGGTGTCCTCCCACACTCTGAAGATATGTGGGTGGTGAATGGAGAGAGGGTCTTCTCAACTGTGGTGCCCATCTTCCTTGGAACACTTTCTGTGGGCAAACTTGTTTGGTTCATGCCCATGTCTTTTCACAGACATTTCCGTTTTATTTTCCCAGGCCTTTTAAATATTGCTTGAGTTGTTCTAACTTTCCTGAGCTCTTATCCTGAAGCTGTTTTGATTTGACACTAAACACTGGACTGTATAACTTATCATTATTTGTAAGCCACCCTGAGAGCGGCAAAACTAAATGAAGTAGCACAGAAGTTCTTAAGAGGTAAAAATTCTAAAGGTGGAAGTTCCAGGTAAGCAATGACATGCTCCCACGTGTTTACACCGGGCAGTGTGGTACCCTGTATCTTCTGTAATGCAGATGATTGCATCCCTTTGCCAAGATGTACAAAAAGGCCTTGAATAGAATAAAATGCAGCATCTTCCTATGAACATGTTGCAGGAACGTACTTGCTACTGGAGGAGGCAAAGCATTCCCGCAATGGTCCGGATGCTGGAGCTTAGGAGAGAACAAGTTTAGACAAATTTGGGCTGCTGATGACGTACGTGGGAATTTACAGTATGACAAGTGAGAGGCACAGCTGACAGTAAGGGTGTGTGCGCCTGTCATATTTTCCACTTGAAAAGGTAGAGAGGGGGCAGGCAATAATGACAGCCCCGTAGTTAGTTTTTATCAGATAAGCTTCAGGTGTAGTATAAGTGATGAGGGGGTGGGTACTGCTCATTGGGGGAGAGGCTCCATCACTTTTCACACACACACACACACACACACACACACACACACACATAATTTCCAAAAATCATGTAACATATTTTCTTATCTTATATAACATTTTGGACTTCCATCAACTACATCTGGAGATTTTTCAGTCTTTATCACTCTTACTCTGCATTTCCTTAATTTCACTATTACTTTTAATAGTGCTTCACTAATAATTCTCATCATAGTTTTCTCTGCAATATTTCGCACAGTCCTCCTTACAAAACTCCTTGCAATCCTACTAGTGTAATCTGTTGATTACAATTGCTTTTCAAATAATTCACATATTTGCTCCAGTCCTCTGAGAATCTCTGATCCCACAGGTTTCAAATCCTTCCTGTCATCTTATCTAATTCTGCATACTCCATTAATTTCGTCTGCCATTCTTCTTTTGTCGGTAGTTCTTCGGCTCCATCACTTTTCCATAGGTGAAGCCCTATTGATTTCTATGGGAGAACAAAACCTGTGATTAATCTTGATCCAATGAAATCCATAAAAATTGACGGTGCTCAGCTTTGGCTGGATTGTGTGCCATGAACTTTGGGTGTTAGGCAGCCTGTGGAATGCAAGGTGGGGTTTTATTTGCCTTTTTTTATGAGGTTTGCATGTTTGCTCTTTGCTTTCCGCTAAGTGTGCAGTAGGTTATGTACATCTGAGGTTTGCCATAAGCCCATCGCCACCATTGCTAGCCCACAACTGCACTTGTTAAATGTGTTATAGGTACACTGCATACCAACTGATATTGTGTACTAAAATGTGTCCTTAATTCTGAGGTTTTTCTTTTAGTTCTACCAACACTGTTTCTTTCAAACAGAATCTCAAAATTTGACTGGCACTTACTTGGATTCAAGTCAGTCTGGATCGAAGTTTGGCATTAAGCAGTATATTAATTAAGTATCGTTTTTTTCCGTGTATAACACACACACCTGTGAAGATGACCCCTATTTTTGGGGACCCCAAATTAAGGAAATGGGGGAAGATTGCCCAGAGTTGTTGAGCTTTGTTGGTGGGGGGATTGCCGAGAATCGCTCACCCGCAAGACCACCGCTGCCAATCGCACGCCTCGCAGAAGAAACCAATGGTCTGCCTGCTTGCCGCCAGCAGCCGCCAATCACCCACCCAATTGCTGCAGCAGCAGCCTATCGCTTGCAGGTCTTGCTACAGCCACCATTCACATGACCAATCGCCGCTGACAATCTCCTGCTCGTGGCTGCCACCAATTGCATGTCCCCCCTCTGCACTATCTGTATATAAGACGACCCCCCCTTTTTTTGCATTTTTTATAATAAAAAACCATCGTCTTATACGCAGAAAAATACGGTAAGTAATATCCTTTTTCATGACAAACTTCGATCCAGACCTGGCCATGCTTAGAGTGGACCGGGGGTGGGGAATCTCAGGCCTGGGAGCCAAATGCAGTCTCTCTCTCCAGGCAGGCCCCCTCTAACCACACCCTTTCTTCCCAAGTCACACCTCCTCTCCACAGGCCGCACTCCTTATTAACTGCATCTTCATTAGTACTTTTGCCCCGCTGGAATGTAATAATGCCATTTGCTTGTCCAGATGCAAGAAGGAGAGATATGGGTAGCTTGTGTGCATGTATCTATGTGTGCGTGTGTGCATGTGTGCGTGTGCGTGTGTGCGTGTGTGCGTAGAAATCATAGACACTTGTGTTGCTGGAATGTAGCCTACTGTAAAAATTTGAGAGCCACACCCATTGCTCCACCTGCCACTGGCTTGCAGCATCTTGAAGGTTGCTCACAAGGAAATGTGGTCCTCAGTCTGAAAACGTTTCTCCAATCCTGGAGGTAAAGGTAAAGGGGCCCCTGACCATTAGGTCCAGTCGTGACCGACTCTGGGGTTGCGGCGCTCATCTCGCTTTATTGGCCGAGGGAGCCGGCATACAGCTTCCGGGTCATGTGGCCAGCATGACTAAGCTGCTTCTGGCGAACCAGAGCAGTGCATGGAAACGCCATTTACCTTCCTGCCGGAGTGGTACCTATTTATCTACTTGCACTCTGACGTGCTTTCGAACTGCTAGGTTGACAGGAGCAGGGACCGAGCAACGGGAGCTCACCCTGTCACGGGGATTTGAACCGCTGACCTTCTGATCGGCAAGTCCTAGGCTCTGTGGTTTAACCCACAGTGCCACCTGCATCCCAATCCTGGAGGAGACCCATGGAAATCAACAGGGTTTAGATCAACGGAAGTTCACTCTAAGCATGATTATGCTTAGAGCCAGTCTCCTTGACTTTAAAATTCTATATGTTTTAGTATTTGGGGAGTGGGTTGTACTGTGCACAAAAAGTACATTTCCGAGCACAATTGAAAGTGTTGGTGCTGACCTTTAAAGCCCTAAACGGCCTCGGCCCAGTATACCTGAAGGAGCATCTCCATCCCATCATTCAGCCCGGACACAGAGGTCCAGCACTGAGGGCCTTCTGGCGGTTCCCTCACTGCGAGAATTGTGGTTACAGGGAACCAGGCAGAGGGCCTTCTCAGTGGTGGTGCCCGCCCTGTGGAACGCCCTCCCATCAGATGTCAAGGAAATAAACAACTATCTGACTTTTAGAAGGCATCTGAAGGCAGTACTGTTTAGGAAAGTTTTAATGACTGATGTTTTAATGTATTTTAAATATTTTGTTGGAAACCACCTGGAATGGTTGGGGTATAAATTATCTATATCTATCTGTCTGTCTATCTATCTATCTATCTATCATCTATCATCTATCTGTCATCTAGATGCAAAAATGGATAGTCTGGTTTTGTATGGAAACATAACTTTTGAAATTAATATTACAAAAATGTATTCAGTGTCATCAGTTTGTGAGCCCATGAACGTTACTTCCTGAGCCATTTAATTTGCCCCATGCCATACTATGAACCCCTCAGTTCACTCAATCTACAAGACGTATCATATGTTTCCCTGTGCCAAGTACCGTATGCCAAGACCTGGAGGGTTTGTGCATAATAACATGAACAAACAAACTCTTCAGATTGCAGGCTTTTCCTCATTAGAGAATGGGAACTCAGAGCCAAACAACCGCTAGTAGTGACCAAGAGAGATAGCTTGGCTAGTTCTGTTTTGAACTAAATATCCTGTAAGTAAGAGTCCAAAGCGTGGACTGAGGAGCCTCTCTGGTATCAAACAGAATGAGCTGCAAGGCAAACTGATGGGACCTGGGCTTTTCAAGTGTGCATGTGAGGGACACACTGATAAAAGTCCCAGGTGCTGGCTGCCGCCTGTAATGTCAGCGGTCCAGCTACTTAGCAGGCTGCAAAACAAACTGAGTTTTGTAACCAAGGAGCCAGCAATAAAAGTTGGAAGGACAATAAAACTGAGCTTGTATACTTTTCAGGAGCCAGGACTGGGTGGCGCGCGCGCACACACACACACACACACGTAATAGGTCAATGCACTGTTAATAGAACAGATAGCGTATGGACCCTGTAAATACATGGAACTGGAGTGGTGATGCACTCATTCCTTGCCTCATAGCAGCCCCCTAGTAACTTGATGCTGGGTATGCAGTGCATATGGAGTAAGACTGAAACCAGTTCTTCTCCTGGCCAGTAGTGGTCGTTTGGATTGGAACATCCCTGGGATTCAATTTCTGTGTTGTAAAGGAAGGTTGATCTTCCCTCTCAACAATAGGTGCTGAAGTTGCCAGCTTTTTGGTACAGGGACTGGTTTCATCTGGGTCAGTACAATCGCTCAGAAGGATCCTGATCTTATTTGGAGACTTGCATATTCATAATGGCTATTAACTGTGTTCAGCAGTCATCCCCTTTCCCCCCAGGAATCCTGGGAACTGTAGTTCTGGGATGGGCGCTAGGGCAGGGGCATTCCGGGGGTGGAATACAACATAGCACTAACGAGATAGTTTCGTCAGTGCAAGCACCTGGATAGCTCAGTTGGTTAGAGTGTGGTCCTGATAATGCCAAGGTTGCAGGTTTGATCCCCGTATAGGGCAGCTGCGTATTCCTGCATTGCAGGGCGTTGGACTAGATTATTCTCAGGGTCCCTTTCAACTCTACAGTTCTATGATTTGTAAGCATTGAATCCTTCCCTTCCTCTCCCCCATTTATGCTTGCCTGCTGGGAGCAATCTTCCCTCTTGCCACGGCCACCCCACTGTTCTGGGGGTTCTACTGACCGTCCAGAGTGGATTGGGGGGAGCTGCAGCACAGCAGGAGAGGGAAAAGCCTTGTGCTGGCTTTGGCTAGTGGTACAGGCTAGTTGAATCCAGCCTCAGAATTCATTCCAACCTCTATCTGCCCTAGCCAACATGGGAATTGTAGTCCGGCAACATTTGGACCATCACAGATTCACTAGCCCAGGCTAGGAATATCATAGAGTTCTCTGCATCTTCACCAAACCACAATTCCTGGGTTTCTGAGGGAAAAGATGGCATGATTAAAATGGTTTTTAAAAGTGTATGCATCTCTAATGTTCCTAGGACGCATTAGCGCCAGATGCATTGCCCAGAATAAGTTTATAGCTCTTTCTCAGGGCAGAGACTGGAAAGAGCTTCAGTCTCTCGTATCAAACAAGACAAAACCTGCTGTTTTGGAGTAGTGTTTACTCAGAAACAATTCTTATTTTGCTCCTTGGTGGCGCAACTCGCATAGCAAGGACAGTCAATGAAAATAGTTTGTCCCTCCTTTTCCTTGAAAGGAACTGGGTGGTGCAATCACACCATAAGCTTGTGAAACAGGTAGCACCAAGGATATGGACTGTGCCTTGAGTGTGGTGGTGTGTCAGCCTTTGCCAACCTGGTACCCTCCAGGTGGTTCAGACTACAATTCCCATCAGCCTCAGGAGAGCACCAGGTTGGCAAAGGATGTCTTATACATGTGTTTTGCATTTCCAGTCCATTCAGTTAAGATTACAACAAAATAGTGGCATGGTTAAAACTTGGATAATTGGCTGCTTGTCCAAACTGATGGATTCCTGAGTGGTTTCTGTGATTATCTGTTGCAGAAAAGACAAACATGAGTCCTTTGGCACTTAATATATTTATTCTAGCATATGATCAGTGAAAACCACAATAAACCCCTTAGGCTGCAATTCTAAGCATACTTCTTAGGGACTAAGTGCCATTGAACACACTTGGACTTCTTTCCAAGTAAACATGCATAGGATTGCACTTTTGAGGGTGCTAAAGGACTCTTTTTAATACGCTGCAGATTAATCATCATGGGGGTGTTTTTTTAAGCAGGGCGGGGAAATAGTTAAATTTAAATAAATCAGAATCCATACGTGGGTGTCTTTCCAAAACCAGAGAAGAAATATGGAGTGGTTTCTTTTGGGTGTTAGCATGCCTCTCATTGCTAGACAGCAGCAATTCAGTCTTAAATGCTTTCTCCCCCACCAGCTTGTGAATCTGGTGTAAAGAGCATTGCCAATTACAGTTGAGCCAAGTCTGGAAAACAAGTCTCGGCTGAAATACTCCAGTCTAGAGCTCTGTGACCAGCAACCTGGAAAGAGAGGTCAGTGGGTCATCTGTACTTGTGCTTGGCTGCCAGGGAGGCAGGACTTTACAGCCGCACTGAATCCAGTGACTTGGATTGCACCAGCTGCCGGCAGAATGCAAAGCAGCTACAGAATAAACACATTATGCAAGCTGAGGTCAGTGTTGGATGAAACTGCTGTGTGACATGGGGCTGAGTAACCGAAAGCCCTCACCCTGCCTCCACACTATAGCTTAACCAGGCCCATCCTCCTCCTCTTCCAGCTCCCCACTTGCTACCCCTGCCTGGGTTTCCCATACTTCTGCGTCGACAGAAGACTGCTTTTGACTACAGCAGACACCGCAGCTTGCTGTTTCAGCATATGCAGGAGCAGCTTTCTCCCACAAAGTCAACAATGGAATTATAAAATGGGGCTGGGACCAGACTTTGGGCTTGTGAGATCTGCTTTAGTTTCTTGCAAGAACCCCAGATGACCACTAATCACAGCTGGTGCCAAAACAGTGTATGTAGGGAGGGGGAAGTCAATGACCTATTGTACCCCATGAGGCATAGACTGAATGTACAAATACAAAATCTACATCTGAGTTACTATAGATCAGGGAATCAAAACCACAATTCTCAAAGTGGCCAGCACAGCTACTCAAAGGCAACGAATCGATACTGATATTTTATAGGTGAGGAGCAGTGAGCCACGGCAGAGAACCTTTTCAAAAACAAGATTCAGTATGGACAAAAGAAAGGCCTTCTTCACATCGTGCGGAATGCAGCAATAGTGCGTGAGATGCAGCAGTGGTCAACAACTTGGATGGCTGTAAAAGAGGATTGAAGAAGTTCATGAAGGATAAGTCTAGCACTTTTTCTTTTTCTTTTTTTTTAAAAAAATGATATTTATTGCTTTTAAACCTTACAAAAAGAAGAAAAGAAAAGAAAAAAAAGAAGAAGGGGAAAAAAGCAAAAGAGAAAACAATACAATACAATACAATATATAAACAATACAAAACGCAACATTAACATTAACACATTATACAAAACAAAAGCAAAAACAATTCAAAAAACACACATCATACCATCTCAATATCCTCTCTTTCATTCCCTTGTTTCATCGACCTCCTCTCACCTCCCTTTTTGTATTCCATTTCTATTAATTGTTTCAGCAAATCCTTTCCATCTTTCTCTATTTTCTGTCATGTAATTATCTTAACATATTTTAACCTTATTTTCCATTAATACTATAATACTTATTTATACTTAATTCCTTAAAATATTTCTACTAAAGCCGTATAATTCCCTTCCAACATTTTTCTAACACTCATTAATTTTACATTATTTCCATATATAGATTTTAAACTTTTTCCAATATTTTTCCACCGTCTCTTCTCCCTGGTCTCGGGTTCTGCCAGTCATTTCCGTCAATTCCATATAGCCCATCAACCTGGTGATCTTCTGTCCGAGGCTCTTAACTCTTTTCCAGGTCCCTTCTGCAAGTCTTCTTCATATTTATACATGCACTTTACTTTGTCTTCTCCTGATCTTGTTCTTATTTTCCTTCCTTTGATGCTGAAAAGTAGATCTCCGGGAAATTCCCATCTAGCAATGCTTTTATTCCTTTTTTTTTTTTGTAAGATATTTATTAAGATTTTCAAAATATTACAAAAGAAAAAAAAGAAAAATACAAAATAAAAATAATTAAAAACAACACAATCTTTCCATTGCTTATTTTTCATTAGCTTATTTCCTGGACCTCCTCACGCCTCCCTTTTTTGTATTCCAGTTCAGTTTGTTGGTTCAGCAAATCCTTCCCCTCTTACTTTTATTCCTTCTCAATAAGTCAGCCAAATCCCCATAGTTAGAACTGAAATTCAAAAGATATTTCCAGTCATGTTTCAAAGTTCCTCCAAGTCTGGCAGTCCCCCACAACTCCAGTCTCCTCCTGGAGAAAAAGTCTAGCACTTTTTCAGATCTAAAACCAGGATGCACATCACGTGACCCACACTGCGATCCCACCCTGAAAAAGTGCTTTTCAGGGTTTGTGTGAGAGTTTGCAGCCGCTGTGATCTCACATGAAAAAATGGAATGTCCCTTTTCTGGGGCACTTGGTAGGTATGCCAACAACAACAACAACAACAACAACAATTTATTATTTATACGCTGCCCATCTGGCTGAGTTTCCCCACCCACTCTGGGCGGCTCCCAATCGAGTGTTAAAAACAGTACAGCATTAAATATTTTAAAACTTCCCTAAACAATGGTTACTCTAGCCATGATAACAATGTTTTTCCTTTTTTTTTTAAAGCAATTTATTGGATTTTACAATAGGAATAAATGTAATAAACAATATAACATTCGTCTTAACATAATTTCACATTTTCTTTGGACTTCCTCACATCTCCCGCTCCCACCTTCATCATTATAACATTTTGTCAGCAATTTATCATCTTATTTAAATTCTTATATCTCTTCGATATTTCATAATCTTATAGTTCTCATAGAGAGTTAAACTTTCACAGTTTTTCTTATTTTCTTAAAAACTTCTAAGTTAAGTGGTGCTCAGTTATTTAGTCTAGCATCTTATTCAGCATTCAGTCAAATCACAATGTTTTTGTAGGTAGTTCTTAAATTTCTTCCAATCCTCCTCGATTCTCTCTTCTCCCAGGTCACGGATTCTGCCAGTCATTTCAGCCAGTTGCATATAGTCTATCAGTTGCATCTGCCATTCTTCCAGTGTGGGTAGATCTTGAGTTTTCCAATGTTTTGCGAGTAGTATCCTTGCTGCTGTTGTTGCATACATAAAAAATGTCTGGTCCTTCTTTGCCACCCCTTGGCTGACAATACCCAAAAGGAAAGCCTCTGGTTTCTTAGTGAAAGTATATTTAAATACCTTTTTCAATTCATTATAGATCATTTCCCAGAACGCCTTCACTTTAGGGCAGGTCCACCAGAGGTGAAAGAACGTTCCTTCACACTCTTTACATTTCCAGCACTTGTTATCAGACAGGTGGTAAATTTTTGCGAGTTTGACTGGGGTCATATACCATCTATAAATCATTTTCATTACATTTTCTTTCAAAGCATTACATGCAGTAAATTTCAATCCATTACTCCACAACCTTTCCCAGTCCTCAAACATAATATTATGCCCAATATCCTGTGCCCACCTTATCATAGCCGATTTAACCATTTCATCTTGTGTATTCCATTCCAACAGCAAGTTATACATCCTTGAAAGTATCTTACTCTTTGGTTCTAGCAATTCTGTTTCTAATTTCGATTTCTCCACCTGGAACCCTAGTTTCTTATCATTTTTAAAAACTTCTTTAATCTGAGCATAGTGTAACCAATCTCGCACTTTGTCTTTCATTTTCTCCAAACTCTGCAATTTCCAATTGTCTCCATCTTTTCTAGTATTTCCCAATATTTTGGCCATTTGGCCTCCATATTGGGTCTTTTCGGGCCTTAGCTTCCAAAGGTGAAAGCCACCTTGGTGTTTTATTTTCCAGCAAGTCTTTATATTTTGTCCAGACATTAAACAGTGATTTTCTAACAATATGGTTCTTAAAGGCCTTATTTGCTTTAACTTTGTCATACCATAAATATGCATGCCATCCAAAAACATTGTTAAACCCCTCCAAATCTAACACATCAGTGTCTTCAAGAAGTAGCCAATCTTTTAGCCAGCAGAACGCTGCGGCTTCGTAATACAACTTTAAGTCCGGCAGGGCAAAGCCCCTCTTTGTTTTGCATCAGTTAGTATCTTAAACTTAATTCTGGGCTTTTTGCCCTGCCAGACAAACTTCGAAATGTCTCTCTGCCACTTCTGAAAGCACTCCATTTTGTCCAAAACCTGAAGTGTTTGAAATAAAAACAACATTCTTGGCAATACATTCATCTTAATCGCAGCAATTCGGCCTAACAAAGAAAGTTTCAATTTTGACCAACTGTCTAAGTCTCTCTTGATTTCTGTCCAACATTTTTCATAATTGTCCTTAAATAGACTTAGATTTTTTGCTGTTATGTTTACCCCTAGGTATTTTACTTTTTTAACCACATTAAGTTCCGTCTCATTCTGAAACCGTTCTGACTCTGTCTCAGTCAAATTTTTTCCCAAAACCTTGGTTTTCTGTTTGTTTAATTTAAATCCCGCCACCCGACCAAAGTCATTAATCAATTGTAATACTCTTTTCGTACTAGGCTCTGGCTTCTGCAAGGTCAAAACCAGGTCATCTGCAAAAGCTTTTAGTTTATATTGTTTCTGACCAACCTGAATTCCTTCCACCAACTGGTCCCCTCTAATCATGTTCAATAGCACTTCCAGGACCGAAATAAATAACAAAGGGGAGATAGGGCAACCTTGTCGTGTCCCTTTTTCAATTTTGAACTCTTCTGTAACCACATTATTAACTATCAGTTTTGCTTTCTGTTCTGAATATATCGCCTCAATCCCATTCTCAAAACCCCGTCCCACTCCCATCTCTTTTAAGTTTCCCATCATAAATTTCCAAGAAATGTTATCAAAGGCCTTCTCCGCATCTATAAAAATTAAAACTGCTTTTGTGTTTATGTCAGTTTGGAGAAGTTCCAAGATGTCAATAATGTTCCTTGTGTTAGCAAACAAATGTCTACCTGGGAGAAAACCGGCCTGGTCCTTATGAATTACTTCATTTAAAACTTTTTTAAATCTACTTGCCAAAATATCTGCAAATATTTTGTAATCCACATTTAAAAGGGAGATGGGACGGTAGTTCTTCAGTTGTGTCTTTTCAGTTTCTGACTTTGGTATCAATGTGATAAACGCTTCCTTCCACGAATCCGGTGCCTTCTTCCCTCCATAATTTCATTGCTAACCTCCATCAAAGGTTGTATCAAATAGTCTTTTAGTGTCTTGTAATACTTGGAGGTCAGCCCGTCTGGCCCTGGAGATTTGCCAAGTTGCATGTTCTGAATAGCTTGTTCAATCTCCTGTCGTGTTATTTTAGAGTTCAGGATTGTCCTATTTTCTTGTGACAGTTTAGATAATCCATTTTTTGCCAAAAATTGTTTAATCTCAACTTCGTCTTGCGGCCCTTGGGTATATAGTTTTTTAAAATATCTCTGGAAACACTTTCTAATGTCCACTGGATTCTGAATGTTTCTTCCATCAACCTCTAAATTTGTAACCGTATTTAATCTTTGTCTTCTCTTCAACTGCCAGGATAGCAGTTTTCCACATTTATTCGCCGACTCACCCGTGGTTTGTTTCATTAATTTAATCTTCCATTCAATTTCCTGATTTATCAATTTAGAATATTGTGTTTGATACAGTTTAATTTCTCTCAGAGTTGGCTGTGACTTTGGATTCACTCTTAATTTCTTCTCTAATTCTTTTATTTTGTCCAAAATCTTGTCTTTTTTCTCATTTTGTGTTTTTTTCTTTACTACATTCTGTTGTATCAGGAATCCCCTCGATAACAATGTTTTTCCACCACTGTTGGAGGCAATATGAATCTGTATACCAGTTGCTAAGAGCAGAATTAGGGAGAGTGCTTGCAGCCTTCCCATAGGCATCTAGGTGCTAGACTAGGTGAGGTTTTGACCTAATTCAGCAGACCTTAAATTGCCAGTTCTACTTGCTAATTCTACTTACTTAAACTGCCAGAACCCCTTGCTTGATCAATCGCAAAATATCCAGAAATCTACCAGTAGAAGATTCTTAACTGCTATTCTAAAACATAGTATCCTCTATGTGGGAGAGTTAGCAACTTACTTGGAACTGGTAGAAAGGGGGAAACTATGACTAGGAATGCCTTAAAGGTAAAGGTAATGGTACCCCTGACCGTTAGGTTACGACTCTGGGGTTGTGCACTCATCTCGCTCTACAGGCCAAGGGAGCTTGCATTTGTCTGCAGACAGCTTCCGGGTCATGTGGCCAGCATGACTAAGCTGCTTCTGGCGAACCAGAGCAGCACACGGAAACACCGTTTACCTTCCCGCCGGAGTGGTACCTATTTATCTACTTGCACTTGATGTGCTTTCAAACTGCTAGGTGGGCAGGAGCAGGGACTGAGCAATGGGCGCTCATCCAATCGGCAAGCCCTAGACTCTGTGGTTTAGGCCACAGCGCCACCCTTGTCCCTGGTATCTCTCAATCTGGGAACTGAGGATATAAATGCTGTCTGTAGAGCTGGCCCAAGAGAGAAGAGAGCTCCAACTAAAAGGCTTTTCAAGGGGTGGCTGCTGTCTCTGAATAAAGAAGCAAGCAGGAAAAAACCAAAGCAAAACCCAATCGGCACTTTGGTTAGGCAAAAGCCCCACTTGGAGGGGGATTTGTAGATCAGAAGCAGCATGCAGTCGGGGTTCTTAAAACTCCTTAAACGTTCCAGTGCTCACCACTCCTTTTATTTGTTTTAGGTATTTACATGCTGCCCTATAACCAAGTTCTTGTGGTGAATAAAGAGCAAATTAAAAATGCTTGCAGTAGGAAAGATCAACAATGAAATGTAGAAAGACAGCAGCAAATATCACTCAGATTACAGTACTCTTCCATTGTGACTCTGTGCATGGGATTCCTGATTTATGTTTGCTGTTGCGCACATGCATTCGGGACGAGGGAAGGAGGGAGGAGGGGAGCAACCTGGGAGAGGAGTTCCATTGGAGAAGCAGTTGGTGGGAGAAAGACTAAGCACAGTTTCTTCCTCCTAAAGTCTCTCTGCTCCAAACAATCTTCTCCTGTAGTGGCTTTTCTCTCTATCCTCATTTTGATATATGTGTTGACGTGTAAAGCTTAGTTCTGTTCAGGGGAGCAGGGCAAACAAGCCCCTTCTCGGTCTCGTGGTGAGACCATTTCTCCTTGTCTTTCTGGAGCAGATTGGTAGGTGTCAAATCATTCTCATAGCCTGGTTGTTCTCATGTTACACTGAACACGGGTACAAGCTGTTTCTACACATGTCTAACTGTTTGTATAAAAGAGTGTACGCTTGTTGATTTGTACAGTTCAACTATTGTGCACACAGACCGTGCACTCATTGAATGTTCCAGGTGGATGCATGTAGGAAGGGATGTGGCTCAGTGGTAGATAATCTGCTTTGCATGCAGAAGGTCGCAGGTTCAATCCCTGGCCTCTCCAGGTGGGGCTGGGAATATCCTCAGTCTGAAAGCCTGGAGAGACACTGCGGATCAGTGTGGGCAATCCTGAGCTAGATGGACAAAGGGTCTGACTCAGTATACGGCAGCTTTCTGTGTCCTCTCAACAGCTATTTGTGAACAGAGGTATACAGACTACACGCATCTTGATTGTGACATGTGAAACACACACACCCAGTCTTGAGTTCAGAAATTGCAGGGAAATCAAGATCCAGGGAGCCCAGATTAGAGCAATAGGGCCAACTTCAAATAACAATATGTGCTAAGTGTTGCCAGCCTCTCTAAACCCAGAGATTATGCTCATATAAGGGCAAGAGGTCTGCAACAGTTCTGCTATTCACCAGCCCAGCGCCTTCTGACTCCTTGCTATAACAAGCAAGATTTTACTTTCACTTTACGGCAGTAGGAGAAGAAGGTGGGGTTAACCGAGCCTTTGAGTACCAAGACAAGAGCTGCAGCTGCTTCTTACTGTCTTGCTAGCCCAGCTGCAGGCATTATCTCTGGATAGATCATTTTCACCTGCTAATCCTTTTAAAAATAATAATTGTTATTTGTTTTTACAAATATAGAATTATAACAACAACAACAACAACTTATTATTTATGTCCTGCCCATCTGGCTGGGTTTCCTTAGCCACTCTGGGAGGCTCCCAACAGACTATTAAACAGAATAAAACTTCAAACATTAAAAACTTCCCTAAACAGGGCTGCTTTCAGATGCCTTCTAAAAGTCAGATAGTTGTTTATTTCCTTGACATCTGATGGGAGGGAATTCCACAGGATGGGCACCACCACCGAGAAGGCCCTCTGCCTGGTTCCCTGTAACCCCACTTCTCACAGTGAGGGAACCGCCAGAAGGCCCTCGGCGCTGGACCTCGGTGTCTGGGCAGAATGATGGGCGTGGAGACGCTCTATCAGGTATACTGGGCTGAGGCCGTTTAGGGCTTTACAAAATACATATCCATATTTCTCCAAATCTCTGGACTTCCCACCTCCCCTCCATGGGTCCTATTGTCAACATTTTCAACTGCATATTATTTCATAATCAATTTTCAACTGCTAATCCTAACAGCATCCGATGATGTACCTGGATCTATGTTGTAAACCGTCCCGTGATCTTCGGATGAAGGGTAGCACATGAATTTAGTAAATAATAAAAAGAAACCTAAGGCCAAAGTAGATTCCATGCAGGAGATCTGAGATAGGATCTCCCATTTTTATCAGCGTAAAAGAGCTGGCCCTACTATTAGGAGGAGTGAGGAGGCTGCCTCAGGCAGCAGATGCTGTGGAGCAGGGAGTGGCCATGGGATAATGAAAGAGAGAGATAGGAGTGTGCCACTTGCATCTCCCAAGCTAACTAGCCTGTTGCCCACAGGTGTAGTCAACTACACTATCCCAGTGCGACTATTGAAGTAAGAGTCAGCTTCTGAACACGGGAAGTGGGCAGGACACCAGCACAGGCACATAAGAAGCTGCCGTACACTGTACCAACTCAGACCATCTGGCTCAGGACTGCCAGCACTGACTGTCAGTGGCTCTTCAAGGTTTGAGGCCAGAGCTTTTCCCATTCTCTTGGGCCAGTGCAGCAGAGAATGACCCTGGGGAAGAGGGTTTTTACCCCTCCCCACTCTGCTGCTTTCCCAGTCTAACACTCCCCTCTCAAACTGTAATTAGCTGAGCAATGGGGAGTACAAATATGATACAGGTTCCTGTGTATTTTCCTTCTTGGATAAATAGTAACTTCAGGGCCAGGGCAAGGGGATGAGATTGGGAAAAGACCACTAAGGAGTGTTAAATTCCCCCTCCCTCTAGCACTGCTTTTCTGATCAAAACTTAAGCTACTATAAAGTCGTGGTGTCTGATGCCCCTTGGGACTGGTAGGGCAGAAGACAGGGAGCCCACTGGTCTAAGTCATGGGTAGGCAAACTAAGGCCTGGGGGCCGGATCCAGCCTAATCACCTTCTAAATCCAGCCTGTGGATGGTCTGGGAATCAGTGTGTTTTTACTGAGTAGAATGTGCCTTTTTATTTAAAATACATCTCTGAGTTATTTGTGGGGCCTGCCTGGTGTGTTTACATGAGTAGAATGTGTGCTTTTATTTAAAATGCATCTCTGGGTTATTTGTGGGGCATAGGAATTCGTTCTTTTTTTTTCTTTTCAGAATATAGTCTGGCCCCCCACAAGGTCTGAGGGACAGTGGACCAGCCCCCTGCTGAAAAAGTTTGCTGACCCCTGGTAAGTGGAGGGAAATCCAATGACAGGCAGAGGCAACTAATTCTAGTTTCACCCCCATCTTCCTCCCTGCTTAGTTCTAGGGGGGCAGCACTGAGACTAAGGAGGAGGAAGCTGATTGGCAGTGCTGCCCCCTGCCCCCCCCATGTGAGCAGGGAGGCATGCAGGTGGGGGCTGGCTGGAGGTAGACCGAGGGAGCTGAGACAGTCCCCATTCACCCTAATGGACCAGCCTCCCTTGCTTTCATGGTAAATTTTAAAAGCAAAATCAGGAGACTCAGCAGCGGATTTCCTGTGTCACGTCTGCTTTGCTCGCCAGAATTCCTGAGTTCTGAGTTATCGCCGGACCCACAGGTTTTCCCCTCTTGCCAAGCAAGCCTCCCCCGCCTTCTCAAGCTCTGGAGGTGGAGTGGTGCCTAGTGGTTTGAGGAGGCAAACCAGTGGCATGCCAGCGATTCTGTTACGTGACCTCAGGCAGCTCACGAAACTCTGCATGCCTGAGCGGTTGAGTCACCACCACCAGCCCAGCGTATCTGGTGGTGGCTTAGAAATGGAGCAGATCCAGTATTGTTGCTCTACGAACAGGAACAATGAGGTTGCCTTATGTAAGAGAGGCAGGCTCGGGACAATGGGACAGCGGCAAGACAGAAAGGCAGGTTGCGCTCAAGCCGTTTTAGCACGCAGCCAAGGGGGTTTCAGATTGGCCAGGCCATGATATTTGCACTTGATCCATGCGCACAAATATGCACTGGAAAACCCTGCAGGGCAGAGACAGGCACACACTCCTTCTGTACTGCCTCCTTTCTTGTCCTCAACACAAAGCATTGCTCTCCTTATGTTTATGCATCTACGCCTATGATTGCTACTCATTTGTTGTCCACATACATGGTGTACTTGTCCTCTCCACTCCCACATACTTACCTCTCAAGTGTCTGTAACTGTCTGAGATGTCCCTGATTTGAACCTGTTTCTTTTTAAAAAAACAAAAACCCAAACCTGTTCCTCTGTCCCCAGTTGCCTGTACAAAATGTCTGTTATTTTCAGCATGTGATCCTTCCTCTGCATTTCTCCACAGCCAGGCACATATCTGCACTGCACGCTTGTGCTAGCTTGAAAGAAGAATTCCTTTCCCCCAGGAAATGCTGACAAAGCCCCACACCATGCTTTTAAAGCACAACGATGCCGCTTTAAACAGCCACGAGAGCGCCCAGAGAATTCTGGGAGCTGTAGTTTGTTTCAGGGTGCTGAGCAAGGATGGCTCACCCATGAGGCAAAGTGAGAAACCACCTCAGGGGGCAGGAAGAAGAAGAAGAAGAAGAAGAAGAAGAAGAAGAAGAAGAGGAGGAGTAGTTTGGATTTGATATCCCGCTTTATCACTACCCAAAGGAGTCTCAAAGCAGCTAACATTCTCCTTTCCCTTCCTCGCCCACAACAAACACTCTGTGAGGTGAGTGGGGCTGAGAGACTTCAGAGAAGTGTGACTGGCCCAAGGTCACCCAACAGCATAGATGCGAACCTGGTTCACCAGATTACAAGGCTACTGCTCCTAACCACTACACCACACTGGCTCCACAGGACTCCACAGGATCTACAGGGGCAGCAGATTTTGCTTCCAAGGAATACACTGCCTGCTGCTGCTGCCACGGTAGTAACATCAACAGCTGTGGCATGCTCCTTGAAGGCTGGATCTGCCATCTCCCCATCTGCAGCAGCAACAGCACCCCACATGCTGCCTCTACAGAAGCCTTTTGGTGAAAAGGAGGTGCTGCTAGTTTCCTCCCATCTGTTTTTGATGTAGATCCCTTTCCCCTCCTTGATCGTGATGTAGTTTTTCACTCAGTCCTTCTTTACTGGTGGCGAGGGAGGGGTGGCACCACTTTGCGGAGGTGCCAAAATGCCTTGGGTGCTGTGAGATGTAAGGAGACCTCATGTTCTCCTGTAGCAGCCAGTGAGGCAGCAGAGGTGGGTTGCTGCTGCTGTCCCAGCTTCCAAAGAGGTTTCACAGCCGCTTACTCAAGGTAGATAGGGAGGTGTGAGGTGCAGGGAGCTCCCCCTCCCTTTTGTAAGCACCAGTGACATGCTGCGTTTGGAAGCCAAGAGTGCAGTGGTGCTCCACATCTGCTGCCTCACTGGACACTACACTGGTACCTCGGGTTAAGAACTTAATTCATTCTGGAGGTCCATTCTTAAGCTGAAACTGTTCTTAACCTGAGGTACGTCTTTACCTAATGGGGCCTCCCGCTGCCACCGTGCAATTTCTGTTCTCATCCTGAAGCAAAGTTCTTAACCCGAGGTACTATTTCTTGGTTAGCGGAGTGTGTAACCTGAAGCGTCTGTAACCCGAGGTACCACTGTACTGCTACTCCCTTCACAGAGCTACAATTTCCCAAACTCCTCATGAAGAGAGATTGACTGTTAAACCACTCTGAGATTTGCAGTTCCGTGAGTGGGAAAGCAGTCTCTCTCTTAGCAATTCTCAGCACTCGTAACAAACTATAGCTCCCAGAATTCTTGGGGGGAAGCCATTATGGTTTAAAATGGCACCATACTGCTTTAAATATATAATGCCTATGTGCCCTGGACAGGGAGCCAGGGATTTTAAACTAAGAATTCTTCCCACGTCTTATGAAACTACAATTCCCAGCATGGTTGGGTTTTTTTTTGTGAAGGGGGGGTGGAAGGCTATGATAATCAAACTGACTGAGAAGCAAAATAAGATTGCGATACAGCTATTCCCCAAGTCTATTCAGAACAGCCGCTGAGGTGCTCACCAAGTCAAACGCCCTCGGGATACCTCAGCTTATCTCAAGCATATCATTTCTAGCGAATGTGCAGTTCTTAGGAAACACCCCTTGTTTCAACATTTTCCCTCTTCCACAGAAGAGACAACCATCATTGCACAAATCTCCTGGGAATGGAAAGTTCCCTGAACACTCACATTTCAGAAGGAGCCTTTCACTGCTCTCTCCTTACACCAAGATTTAAAAGCTCTCCACAGTTATATATTCCCCATCACTTCCCTTTCTATGGAAAGTTTTGATGTCTCATTTCTGGGGGCGACCGAAGCCGTTTTGCTGCCAGAGATGAAGGCGAAAATGGTGTGTCTCCACCCCTTCCACATACTGAATCTGTCTGGACTGGTAGTTGGACCTGATTTCAACATCAGTGATGGGGACAGCATCTTCCACCACACCTGAGGGCAGCAGGCTAGTTTAGGGTGTGCAGGGCAGGCCAAACAGAACACCCTGCTCTGTCTGAGGAAGGCCTGGGAAGCTCAGGAGGAATGGCACAGGAAGACAACTGCCAATGCTCTCTATACCTCCCAGCATCCACCGCTTCACTCTGTCTAATGGTAGGGCTGGCCCTGTTAAAATGTATCTGCATGTCCTCCATGCTAAGTCCAGCTGCTAAGAGAAAGTGGAATTGGTGAGGTGAGTGGGAAGCATGCTGGAGGCTGAAGCTACTGATAGCAAGAAAAACCAAGGGTTTTGTACACCTGCGTGTCAGTCACAGGATACATTAAAAAAAATCTTCCCTATACAGGATTGCCTTCAGATGGCTCAGGGGTTGGATAACTCCATACCCTCCAACATTTCTCCAGGGAAAAGAGGGATGTCCTAAGGAAAAGCGGGACATTCTGGGATCAAATCAGAAACCGGGACAGCTTCTCTAAATTAGGGGTGTCCCTAAAAAATAGGGACACTTGGAGGGTCTGAGAAGGTTGCCCAAGGGGACATGTGGCCTATGGGCTGAAAAAGATACCCCACCCCACCCTGGTCCTAAGCAATGGGTGGTCATATCACAATTGGCATATCAAGGTCTGTGAATCTGCACCACTCTCACTGGAGAAGCATGTGAGATGTGCACTGACAGAGCCATGATGGCTCTGTGCAAATGGTCTTAACAGAGTATGAGAACTAGCTGCATAATAAGTATACTCTACTGGATAGATAAACTGAATGTTGCAGCATTCAATTGCTTTTGAATTGATCTGGCAAATTTTGAAGGAAGTATATAACCTTCCAACACACCATTCTTTGGAAGAGCAATATAGCTTTTGGGTGGTATTTTTCAGTCCTATAACTTTCTCCATAGATAGCTACTATGGTCTGGCTTCCCTGTGGATGAAACAGACCCATCTTGCAGCCCGACAAAGATCTGCTTATATATAGCATCCCACTAATTCATGGCAGTGCTGTCAGAGTGTGCAATTGTCCCCGGATGACCGTCTACTGGGGACAGTGCCATACTGAAGTCACTGTATGGCAGTCTTTTGCTAACCTGGTGCCCTCCAGATCTTTTGGACTACAACTCCCATCAGTTCCAGCCAGCATAGCCATGCTAATGGGAGTTGTAGTTCAAAACAACTGGTTGGCAAAAGGCTGCTGTGCTGCGTTCTGCCTGCTGTGGGGGAAGGCTTGAACAAAGGTTTTATCCTAAAAGCAGGGTTGTGGTTTATGCAGGAAAGGAAGCATCTCCCCAGAGCTTAAAATGTCAGCGTGCAACATGAGATGACTGCAAATATTTGGCTTGTGTTTCGGCCCTAATAGATGAAAGCATCCTATGATATCTGAGGTCTATGTGTAACCTGAGCAAGCTGAAAACTCACAGGGTGTGGTGTGTTTGTTTTTTGGGGCCATAATATGTAAATCCAGCAAAAGATGGCTATCTATCAGGTGTCTTTTGCATTTGCTGCACTCCATGGTTAATGGTGCCTTAGGGGCAGCTGTGTTTCCTTACAATAAGATGCATGGATGTGCAACATGGCTTCTTCCATAGCAAACTAGTATAGTGATGCAGCGCTGATTATTGAGAGCAATCAGCCAGCTATTTAGTTCCTGCAGCAACACATCTCCTCTAATTTGCCTAACAATAAAGAGATACTTGCCAGGGCTATTCAAGTAACCTCCTGCCCAACCAGTCTGACCACTTTAACAGGCTTGTGCCCAGACCCAAAACTTACAGCCACAGAATCACTGATTTGGGAGGGAAATTGGAGATCATCTAATCCAAGCCTCCGAGCTTGCAGGGAAAGGTATGCCTTACAGTACCCATCTTCTCAGGGCCTTCTCCCCATCCTTCAGTTGGAGGACCACAGTGTAGATGTTACTTCTCTGCAGAAATAATTGGTGAACAGAGAGACATGGAAACAAAAGGCCTATTTTAGAAATCTGCCCCAAATCCATTAGGGCGGGGTCCACCAAACTTGGGTAGGACTACAATTCCCATCATCCTTGATCAGTGGTCCTGCTAGATAGGGATGCTGGGAGTTGTAGTCCAAAAACAGCTGGGGACGCAAGTTTGGGAAACCCTGCATTAGGACAAATGGGGCCCTGCCCCACTAACCCCAGTCTGCCCTCATCCAGACCTCACCTGCCTGCCTTCTTACTTCCAAGCAGACCAGGAGGCAGCCCTGGCTGTCACTTTTCTTTTCCTTAGCATTGGTGTTGTAGAATTCAGCAGGTGGTTGGCGCTATTTGCCATTGGCGCTGGCTCCACCTATCACTGGCTCCAGCTGTACCTACTCTTGGCCTCCCTGACTTCTGCCCCACCAGTCCAAATGGCCACCAGCCACTGACGGCACTGTACAGTTCATGGATTTCATCCAGACCAGCTACAGCCTGAAGACATGGATCTAAAATTACCTAGCTGCCAGCTACAGCCAAGCTGGCTTCCTGGGAAATTTCACTGGCAAATTAAGGGAAGGACTCCTCTACCGCCTAAGGCTGCTGCTTCTCTTCCTCTTCCTCCTCACTGGACTGGCAGCCAAGCCCAACTTTATTTGGTTTGCAAAATCTTCTTAGCACAAAGGGCTGCTTCCCATGTTAAAAGTCACTCGCGTCGCAATAATAATAATAAAGCACCTGCATCTCACAGGAGTGTAACCATTTTGTTCATCCCTTGAGGCCTTTGTGGAAGCCAAAAACGAGCAAAACTCACCACCCTGCTTCCTTTTTTGCACTATACTTGTGCTAACTCGACATCACCCTCCACCAACCTGGTGCCCTCCAGGTGTTTTGCACTGACTGGGGCTGATGGGAGTTGTAGTCCAAAATACCTGGAGGGCACCAGCTTGGTGAAGGCTGCTCTGCATCCCGTATCTTGCGCTTGTAGCAGGGCATCCTAATGGGTGAAGGTGTAGCCTTGCTGAAAGGAATGGCTGTGTATACATTTGCTACTGCGTTATTATGTTTTAAAAACCTGTACTCCGTAGCACTGGAAAGGGAGAATATAAAATGCACTAAATAAAAATGTATATATTTATCTATTTGTTTACGGAAGGAGCAAGATTCTCGAATCATGGGATGGGGGCTGTCATTTCTCTGTACAGAAGGAGAGTTCGGCTCATCCAGATTGCCTTTTGATGTTTTTCCAGTGTTTTCCCCAGGAAAACATGCATTTTACCACTGAATCAAAACAAACAACAGTCAGGTTTTTGCCGGGAAGCACTGGAACCAACCAACCAACCAACCAACCAAGACCACTCAGACACAGAGCTTTATAGTGCAGAACTGTATCTGGAAAGTGTGGCACATAAAGAAGTCTGAATGAGCCCTCAGCCTCGGTTGTGTTCTGATCTTTCTGTTAAGGCTGCATAAACAGTTCCTTGCTTGGGTGGTACAGTGAGAAAGTATTTAACTTTTAACTTTTTTTTAAAAAAAGGAATTTACCGTATTTATTTATTTACTGGAAGGAAACCGTGCCTTCTCTATATTGTGACATTACGTTCCTGCTCTTTAAGAGCAATCATGCAGGGCTGGTGTGAGGAGAGCTTCTCTGACTGAAACACTAGTGATAAGGCGCTTGTAGCAGGAGCCATTTTGCCCCACTTCCAAAACCAAGGTTCTCACCTGAAACACCCCGTCTCAAAGGCATCCTTGACTGAGCGTGACAAGGCTCTAGGCGATGCTGAGGTCATGCATGGCTGTGGCGCTCCCTACAGCAAAGACTGGAAGCTTTTGTCATCTGAGGCCCTGGAATTTTTGCCTGCTGGTCCTAAGTAATTCAAACACATTATCATGTCCTCCATCCTGTGTAGGGAGCATGAACTATCTGGGGCCGCCTCATATAGGCTTTCTTCCTATAGTCCAGCCCTGCCAACCGCGCGTAGGCAGCGCCTGTCTCGTGCCTGACAGGAAGGGCATTGTTTACAGTTGGGTGGGCATCAACTTGGGGCCTGTCTCCCTCACATACATATGTTGCTGGGAGAACTCTAGCCACAAAGAGACCCCTTGTTCAGCCCAGGAAATTATCATCCCAGCGACCAGAGAAAGGATGTGGACCAGTAACCAGAGTGATAGAGTTTCAAGGCCTGAGATCAAAGACCCTTCAGAGGCACACTACTAATCTGCTTTTCTGGAGCCTTTAATAAGAGAAAACACCCTGTAATCATTTCCCTTCTCTTAGGCCTCAGGGACCCCTCCAGGGCAAGGGAGCTGCAGGCTCCTTTGGGAATAACTATGCAAGTTGGAAAAGCGATCGGCCTTGAAATGGCACAGCTGCATGGAACGTGGTTATTCAGCAATATAGCCAAAATACATATGTATAAATAATGAGGTGTTGTAGTCATTAGAATGTAACCACTGCCTTTGATCTGATAAACAAACAAAACCAACCCAAAGAGAATTCTAGTGGTTCAGGGATTTGAATATCTAAAACAGGCATGGAAGATGACTGTTTGGAAAGTGAATTGCGATGAAAGTTAATAATCTTACAGAATCAGGTTCATCAGAGCAGGTTGGAACATGCACAGCATGGGACTGTCTATTTCTAGTGCATTTCTTAACTGCTTTTTTTACTGGGGTCTACTTCAGCATTATTTTACAGAGCTGCTTCTTCTTGCTTTCTCCTGAGTCACATTATGGATTCACCAATCTGCCATTATTGCCCTACTTCTGCCTCTTTATTCTGGGATTGTTCAGACTCCTTTTTTTATCATGCCTTTTCTTTTTAAAAAACTTTTTGCACAATTTATTTCCCTCTGAGCCAATCATGCACTCTTATTACTATTATCAGTGGAAGTGGCTCAACAAAAACAACAACCCTTAAATGTTTCAAAAGGAGCCATTACTAAAGGAAAGTGAGATATAAAATGCATGTTTTGTTATAAGAATTTTAAGGTCACATATCTATATAATAAATGTTCATAAATGTACCAATGTCTGGAGCAGCACAGGAAGACCTTCTTGAAACCATTTTGACTCCCAAACTGACCAAATGTTTTCTCTGCAAGGAGGGAGGGGGTGGGGGAACTTTCCCATTGTCTCAGGAAGTGGGTAATCGTAACCACCATTTCAAAAGAATGGGCAGACTACCAGGAAAGGCAATCAGATAAGGCATTATCAGAAAACCTGCCAGACAGGAAAAACAACAACACTCAAATTTCTGTTGTAGACCGCCTTTTCTGTGATGTAGGTATGATGTTTGTGGGGGGTGGTCTTGGGTTACACCCCTTCTGTGATGTATGTATGATGTATGGAGGGATGGTCTTGAGCTCCAGGGCAGGGAATTTAAAATGTCTATATAAGGGGAGGCACGCCATTGTTCTAGGTCCTCCTCCTTTCCTGCGTGTGAGGGGAGCACCCTGTTGCAACAGATCAATAAAGATCAGGCTTACTAGCTGCTTTGCTTCTCAATATTCTCTGGTTGGCCTTTGTTATTTTCTCCTACCAATAGGGAACCCACGTAAAGACTCTATATGGGCTCTTGGATACCCCATAAGGGAAGAAGGCCAGATTTTGTTTACAACAGTTTCAAACAGCACAATTAACAAGAGAGCAAAATATTATCATAAATATTGAACATATCTGCTTCTGTTGCTGCCAGTCCTGCCAATGGTGGTTCATGGTGGCTGTGGATGCTCAGGCTCAATCAGTGAACGTGGGTAGTAACTCTTACTGTAGATTGCCTCAGACTTTCCCAAGGCTGTGACCATACCATAGATTTTGAACATGCCACCTCCACCCCCAGAATCCTCAGAGATGTAGCTCTGTGAGGAGGTAAATTACGTACTGTTCCCGGGTTTCTTTGTGTGGCTGGGTGGTTTTTAAAAAGTATGCCGTGTACACAGCCTTAATCTTTGCTACAGGAGCTTCACTCTGGCTGGAGAATCTACTCTTTAGCATATTTGGCATAATGATTAACACAGCCCTGCCTCTCCCTTGGGATGACTGCTCCTTATCATGAGTGATATTACATTTATAGATATATTTTTCCTTTCTGGGTATTCCTTGTCAGGTAGTCAATCTTTTACCATGACGGGCAATGTGCAATGATGTAATCTGTTGATTCAATATACTGGCATCACTTGACAGGTTTCTGTTGTTTTTGTAATGGATTTGCCATGGACCTTAACATCTGACCTCGGAACACAACTAAAATTCCTTTGAGGCATGAACGTTTTCCTTTATTGCTCACTTTTAGATATGGATGGGTGCTTCAACCAGCAGCTGTTAACTAGGCATATTCATGCAGATTTAGACTGTGTACACACTCATTTTTTACCCTGCATCCAATGTACTCCCATGGTGAATTTGGGAAACAGTGTACGCATGATGTTACACTCAACCCATATACATCCCGACCTTTTAAAAAAAGAAATACTGCATTTTTATGTACAGTATGGTATTTCCCCCAAAGCCAGCTTTGATCTGCATTGAGAAAAAGAGCAACTTAGCTGTATTTTAATTCAGTAATGTGTACAAAGCCTTATTCTACCTGCACACACATGCAGAAGAGTTTCACCAGACAAGTAATATGGATTTAATCCCTTAGAAGAGTGAGGCTATATACGGTATAAACTATACCATTAAAACACATTCAAAGCACATCATTTCCCTCAAAGAATCCTGGGCATTTTAATTTGTTAAGGGTTGCTGGGAACTGTAACTCTGTGAGGGGTAAATTATAGCAACTAGAATTATTTGAGGGGAAGAATGTGCTTCGAATCTGCCTTTAAAGGTATAGTGTAGGCAGCCTGAGACAATCAGTGTGCATTTCTGGGTTGCTGTACAAAATGGTGCTTCTTAGACCATCTATGGAACATGGGGACTACCATACTTTCTGTTTTGGCAAATGATCAGACTTGTTTTGATAGGGACACACACAGTAGTTCTTCTTGCATCCTTGTATCTAACTCACCTCCAAAAAGCGAACCAGCCATTTCCCTACCATTTAACAGCACTGGTTATTCATCCATTTATATTTGGCCTCCATGCCCCATCCGACTCCCTGAGGAAGCCACAATGTTTGCAGAAAGGGAGGTATTACAACTGCTGACGTCAATAAACTGAAAGTTCTTGCCCTGCCACATGCTTGTTAGAGAATTCCAGTGCCAGCAGCTGGCAGGGAACAGAAGAGGTGTGGGTTGCTGGTCACAGACAGCAGTAGGCATGTAAATACCTGCAGTTATGGCAGGCTAGCTGCTTGCTGCTTGTAGTTCCACCAACGACCTTAATGTAAGAGCCTTTGACGTTCTTTGCACCTGAAGAAGAAAGCAATAGCAATATACACCTACACCCTTTGTTTTTTAAACGACACCTCGCTGTAGAGACCAGAAGCAGAAAAAGGGCACCCAATTTTGCATCTGCCACCCAAAGTGAACTATGGGAACATAGGAAGCTGCCCATTTCTGCGTCAGGCCATTGTCCACTTAGCTCAGTATTGTCCTCATGAACTAGAAGTGGCTCTCCAGGGTTTTGGGCTGGGGGCTTCTGGACCAGAAGACCCTCACAGTCTCTTCCAACTCTACGATTCTATGCTGGGAATTGTAACTGGGACTTCTTCCCCAGTACTTCACGTTGCTTCGTGCCAAGTCTGGTTCTGTCTTGCTAAATGTCCAGGATGCTTTGTACACAATGGCTGCAATGAATGGAGTTCAGTGGAATGAAGGGCAGCAATGTTTGTGGGTAACCCTGGCAAAACCCTGGAATATCAGAACTTTGGAAACTTTAGCCCTGGCTTACAGCTCCCATGATCCTTGGCCATTGGCCATGCTTGCTGAGGCTGATGGGAGTTGTCGTTCAGCAACATCTGGAGGGCCAAAGTTTTTCTACACCTGACTTAGAGGTTTTACTATAATCAAGCGGCATGTAAATTTTGTTAAATAAATAAAATAACTCGTGAATAACTTTGTGTGATATCTGTGTGGTTTTAATAAATAAGTGTAAATATAATTTTGTGTGTTTGCACATGTGAAGATGTTGTTGATCCACAAATATAATGTAATAACTTGAGCCTGCTGGGTCAGGTCAAAGTCCAATGATCTAGGCCTGCACCCTCTTTTCTCAGTGACCAACCAGATGCCCCAACAAGTCCATGGGGAGGACATGACTCCCACCACACTCTCCCCAATTGTGTTTCCCAAGAACTGGCTCCAAAGCTGGTTGTTGAACTTTGGTTTACAGTGCTCTGACTGGGTATCTATATGCTGTCAAAGGATTGAATTGCTTAGCTTTAATAATAATAATAATAATAATAATAATAATAATAATTTATTTCTATCCTGCCCATCTGGCTGGGTTTCCCCAGCCACTCTGGGCAGCTTTCAACAGAACATTAAAAACAGAATAAAACTTCAAACATTAAAAACTTCCCTAAACAGGGCTGCCTTCAATAATCTCAACTGGTATGCAGATGGAACTTTTAATCAGGGTGTTTCAACAGATTATGTGGGATCTTGTGCAGTAGCATGGAGAAAGATGTTCCAAAAGGTTTACAGAAGGTGCTCTGACTCCTGTAAAGCTCGCTCTGATTTTACAGCTTTCTAAAATGTGCATGGAGTGTCCACAGATGTGGAAGGAGCCTCACTTCAGATACTTGTTTTCTATTGAGTTGGAAGGTCCAAAAACAGCTACAGAAAGGATGGAGTCGTTGTGCTTCTCCTGCTGCCCTTCCTCATGTGTTTGCTTTCTCTTAACTGTAAGATCTGAGAAGGGCTATGCCATCGCCTTTGCCTTTTTTCTTCCCAGAGATCCATGACTCCTCCTCTAGTCCTTCATCTGCCATGTTGCTCCCTCAGCCACATCAGCTTAGTGTTTAGTGTCCAGGTGTCCTACATTCACACAAGTATTCAAAAATACTTGCATATAATGAACCTCATACATGTTGTTCTGAGCTACCCAGACATAGAGCAGGATACTTGCGGGGCAATTAACTAATGGCTGATTCCAGCCTGTCCTGCTGCCCCTTTGAGCTCACACATTTAAATTATTTATGGGGAAAGCTCTGCCTTCCAATATTCTCCTTTCTGGTCCACTATTTAAGACACAGGGGTCTTCTCACCTATTTAGTTTGACAACCCTAATCTCTCCCCTAGTATTGGGGTTGTTTGTTAATCCTCACTCCATCTCCTCATACTCTTCTAGATGCGCCTTGCAAGTTTTCCCCAGCTCTGGATGCTTTGACTGCTTTGCCCTAGGCTGAATAGATGTGGACCAACCTGTTCCTTCTTTTCTGCTAATGACTAACTGACTGGGATGGTTACCTGGGCAACCTGAGGTCATTGGTGCAATGGGGCGGTGCAGAACAACAGGGACACCGAGTCACTGGGGAACAGAGATGGAGACAAGGAAAACTGCCACCCACAAAAGCAATTGCCTGCCTCCATATCAACCAAGCCACCATTTTAAGCCCAGCCTCTGCCTGGAGGTGGAACTCACAGTACTCTGAGACTGGGGTTCACTGAGTTCCTTCAGCTTAATGGACTCTTCATGCTTCTGAACTCCATTTATCATTGGGAGGAGGGTTAAGATGTGAGGAGGAAACAGGGGTCATCTTTAAGGATGCTGGCTTCAGAGTTTGAGGAGGGGGACTTGGATGAGATGCTCGCTAGACCCTAGAACGAGACCCTCCCTGAGTGAGCCACCTCTTTGGCACTGTCACTACAGCCTGTTTCCATGCACTCTTCCTCTGGGTGCAATCTGTACCGCTGCTGCTCCTTCTCCTTGCTTCTGCTGCTGCTTGCACACTCAGAGATGGCTGGTGAACCAGACAGCAACAACTAGGAGGAGGAGAAGCAGAGATAGAGGGCTGGAATGTGGGCCAGCTTCTTTCCCCAGACACTGGCCTAGAAGGGAATGCGGCCCTCAGGCTCAAAATTGTTCCCTATTCCTGCGCTAGACCCTACAAGTGCCACTTAAGATGGAGCATTCTGCATCTGTCACAACAGCTCAGGGAACTCTGCA